AACCTCTAGCGTACATTATAATAACTCTATGGGGGGGGGGGGGGGGGGGGCGGGGGGGATCGAACTTAGGAGATACTGCAGTGCAAGATTTCGCTCCACGCTTCAAGCAGAGACCCGTAAGGGCAATGATGTACTGCGGATGCATCATTTCTGCTCTGAGGTTTAGCGCTGCCCGAGCTTGATTTTGCAGACAGCGTTTGCTTGTTTACAGCCTTGCGTAAAGTACATCGAAAAAGTATTTCAAGTGAAGTACAAAGTCAATCGGAGGTTATGTACTTCAAGTATCGTAAGTACACCGAGTCCGATGTGCTTGAAGTAAAGTACTATAAATAAAAATTATTTTAAAGTACAAATACTTTTTAACACAATCTTTTATGACGCCTTTTTATACCGTATTTTTTTTACTATATTTTATCTGGTATGCACTGCTCCAAAGATAATTGAAGGAGCATCAGATTATTATTATTTTATTTTTTTAGGAAACAGCGGCAAATATTGCGTAAAGTCAAGTCGCCACGAAGTAGTTGGTTTACTCTCGCTGACAAACTATTTATCACAAGGCACTTAATTTTATCGGTCTTATAGCTGCCGTTATCTCACCCAGAGTGATTGCCAGATGACGTCTCGAAAGACAATAGCGCGTTTTCACATGACGGTACGCCATCTTTTGTTTCCATATTTGGGGAATGTACTTTAAAGTCGGGAATTTTACTTTCTTCAGAAATTACCAGAAAAAATACTGTAGTAAAGTAAAAGTTCGTGTTTAGAAAATCTTCTTAAAGTAAAGTAAAAGTTTTCTAATTCTACTTGAAATAGTACTTTAAATGCCAAGTGCTTTAAATACCTCCCAGATCAGTTTTCCTTTTCTTTTTTCAATTTCGTTGGGGGAATTATTAAGCTTCTCGAACGATATTCGAATCATCACAGACCTGCATATTCTGAGTTTTGGGAGGAAAGGCAATGCAAAGTGGTCATCTTTGCGTTGCCCTTTAGCACACTATCCTTCAAGTACAGCACAAACTACGGGAGCACCGAATGGGCTTCAGAGCGGGTGCTGCCTTTCGTTGACCCCTTTGGAGGAGGCAGCAGTTTCTACACCTCGTGTGGTGCGTGAGAGTTCCTATACGTTGGGGAGAAGCTGGGACAAACCGTTTCTTTAAATACGGCAAATCTCCTTGAGCTTCGGGACACACAAAAAAAGGCCACTCTTCGGCGCTAATCCCGCATTTACTGGGCCACAGTGGCGACGTGTCTGTTCGCTCTCCGCGCCTCAAAGCAGGATTGTTGCAGGGGGGGCTCGTCAAGATGTTAGAGGGTCTCGGACCCTCAAAAACCACTCTCCCCTCCCAACCCTTGCCTACGCCACATGCTTCCCCCTCTTTGCAAATAACAGCTGATCTTCCAACATCTTAACTATTTTTGTGCAGGAATGTTTGTTGACCAACAAACCTACCACTCAAATTTGAAACTAACGCTGCGTGTTCTTTGGGTTACCCGGTGCCTTTTCACGAGTGGCAATGTTCAATGAAAATAACAGCGTGATGACCTCATAAAAGATTGAAGACAAGGTAGCGGCTCCGTTAGCAGACGCAAGTGTTACCGCCACTCTGCGAGGGCCGTCCAGCAACATTCAGGCATTCTACTCTGGAGCCACCGCTGCCTCTTCAGCCTAGTTGTCTTGTTGTTCAGGACTGGAGCTATAAACCGGCAGATATAGACACCTAAGGTTGTTCCTCAGCTTGAAAACACTACAATATATTAATCTCATACGTGATCTGTCTCTTTAACAGTCGGCCAAGGCAGTGCAGAATGACGAAGGAAAGAAGATTGACACTGCAGACATTCGAAATCTCAACTACTTCCAAGAATTAGAAAAGCTTGGATGGCTGACACCCGGAAACGCACATGCAGCTGTACTCTGTGCACCTTCATTAATCTGAGACCTGATTGGTCCCATCTTCATACGCCTCAGCCCCTAACCAAGTTTAAATACTGATCCCGTTTTCGAAATAAGGCGTGTCAAAATCACATGAACAGGATTTCAATCACAGCATAATATAGCATCGGTTGAATTGGACGGTAAATCTCGTTTACCGATTCGCTGGGCGGTCTCTTAACATAACCTGTTTGGGGTGATGAGTGCATAATCATATCATTCAAATGTAAAGCTTAATTGTACTCTTTATGCCTCATTTGACATACCTGTTTCCAAATTTCGCACCCAGTTTCAGTATTGCTGAATATGGGTAGTGAAGGGTACAAACAACTATTGTCGCTTTCCGTTCTTTACTGTTTATTAATCGTCGTCTTTCTAAACCTTGCAGATCAAACTAGGCAAGGATTTCGACACAGATGTGAACGGCACTTCGCTGCTTTGCAAAGGTGGCCTGTCACCAGCCGAATCCCCCTTCGGCGGTGCAAAGCCTTTGTGCTCCATTTTGTCTTTAAACAAATGCGACAGGGCCAGATCAAATGAGACGGCTACAGTTGAGCCTGCTGCGCGCGAACTTTTCATTGTCTGTCTTACCTTACTGTACCGACCAACCGCCCTCACCGCTCCCACTTCTCAAAGCCTAGCGGAGGCTTTCATCCATTTATTTATTTAAACTGTATAATCCCTCTAAGTATGCCTTAATGCGGACAAACTGAATAGTGTCTTACTTTTGTTTTACTATGTCAAAATGTCTGGAGGTGGTCTTATTTCTGAAACTATGAAACAATGTGTGCTATGTGCGCGTTATGTTTATTGTTTGCTGAAGTAATGGCAGATCTACACATTTCTTACTGCCATGCTTACAAACCACAGGTGCTTAAAACATTGGCGACTACATAAGACCGGCAGAGGAGCGGCCGGCCATCGGCAGTCACAAGATATGATTCACAAGCCCTTCCGGTCGTAAGCAGTTGCAAGTGTGTCAACTGCCAAAATTGGTTCCTTTATCTCAGTACTCTCATATTGGGCCTACCAAAACTCTCCGCAGATGTGTTAGAAGCGCACATGTACAAATGCTTTCAACACGCCCACAAACAGTTTTGGTAGGCCCAATATTAGAAGACACGAGAAAGAAACGCGCCTCAGATGGTGTTTGCACACTGCATGCCTTTTGCTTGGTGTACGAGCAGTGTTACCGGGACTTTACGGAATGAGTCAGGAAAACGTCAGGAGATGATTAGTCTGCTAACGTAAGTGAACAATATAATTCGTGTGCTACGAAGCGTCCTTCGCAGACAAACGGTAAACAAGTAAATACTTACACGTCTCCGGTTACCGGACCGGAATAAAGGCAGCCATCTGCTAAAAGCCGAGTGCCGCGACGAAGTGATACGAAACGCCAGCTGAAACTATAAAGGTCTGCTATACTTCCCGTTTGATGCAATCGACAACGAGGGCTCCCTCTGAAAATCTCATGCTCTGCTGCCGCATATAGCACAAATTCTCCTATGCATGTAGTACACTCGGGACAAATATTACCGCGAGACTCCTGTCACCATCCGTGTGTTAGTGAGTAGTTCTCACAAAAAGAACTCTGAAACCAACTAAAGATATATCATTGGTCGATAACTCTCGCCCAGTAAAACGATCGGACATCACGTCCAATCAGTACCCGAGAATGCTATTGCTCTCGCCATGGACCGAACACCGACCGCTAAAACTGGTGTTGAAAAGAAGGACGTTATCTTGTAGCCTAGCTGGTAAAACAGGCCTGAACAAAATCTGTAATAATCGACATGTTCCAGCCTGAACCATTGCCTCAGCACGGTCCGGGAGGGCGTTACAGAGGAGATGGATATATAGGGTGTTGGAAATGCATAAACAAAAGCACGAACGAACTAACGAAGGATTAAAAAAAGTGTTCAGCAATGGCGGTCTTGAAGATGAAACGCCTGTAAAAGGAAGCTGAAGCGGTTTTGTACGTGAGGATACAAACGTCTTAATTTGGCTTCCGGGAATTCCAGGTGGCAGAAAATCATTTTCAAAGTACTGCAGAAGGCCATCCTTTTCGGAGCGTGCCGTCATAAAAAGAGCTTTCTCAATCTCCGCTTTCGCGCATCTTTAGTGCCTATCCAAGCTATGCCCGCGCACACTTGCTATTTTTAAAAACTTAATAAAAATATGTCACGACTGGTGCCAGTGCGGTGGACTGGCAAGCTTGCGATTGCGCGCGCTGTCATACGAGCGACACGCGCTTGGCTGCCGAAAGATCCTAGTCGGAGCCTTTGCGTGTTTTCTCGCGTTTGGTTACATTTTCGGACAAAACGAACGCAATATTCAGTTTTACTAAATAAAACTACGCTGGAATTAACCTCTATCTCATTTTTTTAAATAAGTGTTTCGGCTTCCTTTAACGGGGACGAAGGAAAGGGGAATGCCACTTTAAGCTCGTCTTGAGTCTGAAAAAATAATAAAAAAAGATATTTTCTTGCAATAGGAACTGTAAACTATTTAGTGGTGATGAATGGTAATCATATTATACTGGTGATCAATTAATCAAATTATAACTATTTGTAATCAACTTCTGAGTGATCTAAAGTGCTCTTTAGCAATGCGAGTCTCCAAGGAACTCGTGAACGTCAACCAAGTATCTCAGCTAAACCCTATTCTTCCTCAGTGAGCCCAGCTGATGTTAGTTTTTGGCAAAACGCGAGAATGACTGTTTGATGTGCAGTGCATATCATTTTATAAATGATAGCACTAGTCACGTGGAAGCAGCACTGACGCAACCGGTTACCTTTTTCCTTCTCCCTAGTGGTTAAACTTTGCATCTATAATGAACCATCTTTTGTTAAAATCAAAATTGGTCATTGGTATTTAGCTAAAACACTTGGAAATGGTATAGTCCTATAGGACTCAATTTTTTTCGTGTTCTTCAGATTGAAATTTCACGCAGGTACTCTCGTACTGACAAAAGGTGTTGTTATTCATGCCCTGTTTAATTTCGAAAGTGGCCTTCAGTCCTTTACCTCAATGAACTGTACTGCAAATGTGCCTTTTCCCGCTTGTTGATTTCTTTTTTTCTCGTCTCTGCGTCGTAATTCGTTATCATTTACTCCGCCGTTTAATCAAGTAATGAATAGCCAACTAGACCGACTCCATGCACTGGTACCCTTCAGTTTTAGATTTGCTTATCGAATGTCACGATATTTGATGGCAGGTAAAGTAACTTTGTGTTGGCGCCTGTTTATTAATACTCATTATTCTATACTTTGCAGGCCGAGCTAACCGGACATGCTCTTAACGCAAATGTGATCGACCCTTCGCTGCCTAGGAAGGACGGCCCAGGCACCAGCCAGCTCAACTTTGGCAGTGCCAAACCTGTGGGCTGCATTTTCCCCCAGATGAATGGAACCGACTATAGTCGGATCAAGTAGGGAATAGCCACAGCTCAGCCAACTACATGCAACATTTTTATTCCCTTCCCTACCTGCGTTCGCCGACAAACTGTGTCCGTTTAGTTAACGCGTAATTCCCAAAACCTGTGGCTGCGATATACCGTGCAGTTGTTGGTTTTGTGGCATGCCTGTCTTTTTCAGCACTACAGAGCAGGAGCAATGTAACTAAACCACTCCCCTTCATCGTACCCAGTTGTGTCTTTGTCGATTTCTGTGAAATCGTATCGACGTAATCCTTTTTAACATGTGTTTAAAGGTGAAGTAAAACCTTTGAATCTCGTGCTTAATAGAGAAGGATCGCTTTTATGTTTGATTCGCGTGTATTTTTACAATCGACGTTTTGGGTGTATTCAGTGTCCAGTTATGGTGCGCGTGTTTGATCGTGATATGATTATTTTACTTTTTTTTAATTACACCTCAACATCAATGGAAACCCCTAAATTTGTCTACTTCTTCAGCTTGATGTCTCTATGTTTGCTTGTTCGTTAAGTTCGTTCTGATTGGGCTTCTGTATTGGTATAGTATAAAACAAAGGAACAAAACAAAATTTGATCTTCACTCCTAACAGAACTTGCCCACGCAGCATTCGACTCCGAATGGCAGAGAACGGACTGCGAGGACAAGGGAACGGAGCTCTCGTTCCAGGGAGCCGAAATGCAGAGGCAACCATTGAAGATGGACCAGGAGGGGAGGACGGACGGCGGTGCGACTTCTGCCGCCAATCTTATGGTGGCCACAGAACTACCAACACCAGGTACGAGAAGACGCACACAGGAGAACACTCATCCAGCTTCATACTTTCTTAGTACACTCTCAAGGATTCGTGAGCGGTTCCACACGGATAGGAAACTTTTTTCTAGGCTAGGCTTTCCAGGAGGCTGAAAAGGCTTCCCTCACGTGGACACTTCATTAAGTTTTAATTAGCGGCCTGCACCAAACCAAAAAATTATACCACATACATAATATTTGATATCGGAGAAATGTACCATACTGAGCTGCTTACTTCTATTACAAAATTATATTTTCTCCTTTAGTTCCGGTTGATCGAGTAGCTCTCACAAATGCTATAAATTATTTTCGACGCATGAAATAGCCCAGAAATGTTTCGCTGGTTCAAATGATTGAAATTTTGCTCAACATTATTTGTGTCGCCGAAGTTCAGCTTTAGACTAGCAAATGTCCACATCATTGTCGATATAGAACCGCGTTTTTCGCTGTTTCAAATCGCTCGTAAAATAATCGCTATGTACCTTAGCTATTTTCGAAGTTTCTAAGGCACGCAACGATTATTCTACGAGCCTATTGAATGCTATTTTGTATAACCTAATCATCTGTAAGTGTGTGGAAGACCCTTCCAGCTTTATTGAACACAATCGCAATCATCATGAATGTCAACATATCACCCAGCGCTCCGTACTGGCAGCGTTATGCAGCCGCAGTGTTGTAGCAGTTACCGTAAAAAAGTAAAAAACTACGTTACTTGAGAAATAAAAGAACGCGATACTGTCGCCGACAGAAAGTAACGCACGTTACTTTTGCGTTACTTTTTACTTATAAATTGGCGGTAACAGCGCTGTCGGTTTATTTTTGGCGACAGCGTGTTTCGACTTTAAGATGACAGGCGGGGGTTGGAGTTTTTCTAAAGCGGAAATTTTTGCGCGGGGAAAAGACAGGCAAAATTTAGAAAATATGTAGATTTAGAAAAGTAATGAATACGTCACTACGTTACTGAAAGAAGAAAGGCGCTACCGGTAACAACGTCACTTGTAACACGTTACCGGCAACACTGTGCAGCAGCGGCCGCGGCGGCTTGACTTCCCTTCCGCACTTGGTTAGCAGAACGTGCAAGCCACCACAGCTGCCGCACCATGGGGCTGCCAGAGTCGAGTCTTTAACGATCGCCTGTAGAGATTTACAAGCATTGCGAATGAACCTTTTTAATATCTCAAATGAATGAATACGGACTGTAGGCCGCACCGGCATAATGTAGGTATACTGGACCATGTTTAAAACAATAAAATATGCACCGACCTTTCTTGCTCTGTTGTGTCATCCAAACAGACTCGATTGAAGCACACTCTGGCGACAAAGTGGATACCATCGACCGTGACAGCCGCAGGGGTGATGATTCTCCCGAGACCAGCTTGTCGGACCCACACAAGCAGCATATGCACCAACCGGACAAGCATCCGTGCCGCTTTTGTCCTCAGTCAAGCTCTTCCGCAGCGGGTATCGCCATCCACGAGAGGACACACACTGGAGAGAGGCCCTTCAGTTGCGGTGCCTGCGAGAAAACGTTCGTGCGAAAGTCTCACTTGACAGCTCACGATAGAATTCACACCGGTGAGAAGCCGTTCAAGTGCAACACGTGCAGCAGGGCGTTTACTCAGAAATGCAGTTTGGCGGTTCATGAGAGGACTCACACAGGAGAGAAGCCGTACAGGTGCGAGACCTGCAGTAGAGCCTTTGCGGCTTATAGCAATTTCCACACTCATCGGAAGATACATCGCAAGTGATCGAAACAGCGACGTGCATCACAGTTGTGGTGGGGGTTTAAACGAAATACTCGAGCACCGACGTACGTTCATTTCGTTTGGCGATAGACCTGCAGGAGTTCTACTTGCGAGCAGTGCAGGTTTCGAATGGTTCGAAAATATTTCACCCTATTATGTATCATGTAACCACAGCTAAAAAATGTGAATTTAGCTTAGAGTAAGGGACCAGAGTTCTTTCTTGTACACGAAAAAAAGAAAATACTTGAAGCCTTATCTTTTTTTATTAATTTAGAGTCATTAATCACGTGATGCACCTGGAGTCTCTGGGTTGTCTGTAGGGTCACTTACTTTCCTTACAAGTCGGCCTACTCATGACCATGAATATTAAATACACAAATTATTAAAATAACTAACGACTTCCAATAGCAGCAATTTTGGATATTGCAAAAGTTAAGAAACTATAAGAAAAACTTAGTAATGCGGAGGGGTCAACAGAATTTTAAGATGTAAAAATAAAATTATATTCCAAACTATTTAACACACCAAGCTGGAAAATATTGCTTTACTCATAGGACAGCAACAGAATATACATGACTCAAAGATTTAGAAATGCAGTGCTACTTCCTATCTCATTTCTTAATATTCTTCGTCCTTTTTCATTTTGACCGGTATCAGTTGCCGAATTCCCATGACATCCTTCAATGTGCTTGCTACATGTAATGCTTGTATCTATGTTTTTCTTTTGCATGATTTTATTATTTTTTTTTGCACATTCACGAAGACGGTCCTGATCATTGAGGATATTCACACTTTTAGTGCTATTCATTTAGTGTTCATAAACATTTCGTTTCACCTTTCATCAAAGCGGTTTTGTTGATTTAGGATATTCGTACTTTTAGTGCTATTTATTTGGTATTCATCTAGTTTCACTGGGATTCGTCAGGTCCTTATTTATTTGAACTTTTTTTTGTAGTAGACAGATCATATATATTTGTTTTACTAAAGGCATAATTAACTCCATTGTGTATATTCATGTATTTAAACATTGTATAGGCATAATTCATCTAAATATGTCTTAGCTACGCTGACTGTACAGTGGTTGTCACTATTGCCTGATGCGCCAGAATCGCTGCAGGTGGAGTTCTATTCCAAATTGTATAAAATATTTCTTTTGACATAAAGACGGTGTTTCCGGGAAAACGGGCAAACACGTTACTGCAAAAACGACTCATCGCACAATAAAGGAGCCTGATGCCGTAGTGGTCTGTGTCAAAGTGAAATTGTTAGAGTTCAATATAATTGGATAATTAATAAATTCCGAGTTCTTAAAATATTCAATAATGGTTTTAAAGGCATGGTTTCCATTATAGTTTTGCTCGGCATCATCGTGAACTATTTAATACACCCACGTTACAATAGTATGAGGCATTTTAAATTATGCCTTTAAGATCAGTAATTAGTTATTTATTCATTCAAAATTACTTACCCAAATAGATTGAACGCTAAAAATGTTTCTTTGATGGCGGGTGCAAAGGGCCAAAGCTGGCAGGGTGGTGGAAGCTACAAGCCCGTTGGACCACTCAAACGTCGATCTTCCGCCGCATGCCCACTCTGCCAGCCATATCCACGCAGAGGGCGCTGTCAGGCGATGAAATGGAGGCGGTTGTCTGGTCCGGCAAACGTGTAGCTCGCACCGCTCTGTCAGCTTCAAGGGGCGGTGCAACGATATTGTTTATTGGGCTTTCTGGCACCTGTGGGGCCCAAGCACCAATGTGCCCGTTAAAAAAAAAAAATCAACGAAATAGCAAAAATTAACGGGTTAATAAGATTCGTTATCGTCCTAGAAACGTCACTATATACCGTTACGGTTACTTTCAAAAGAGAACGAACGTCACTTTGGCGCCAATTTGAATTGCATTATAACTTGACAGCGAAAGGCCGAGGATATGAACTTCGAGAACAGTTCAGCTTCTACGGAGTAATTTCTTTGTGTTATTAGTTTGTAAGATTTGTTGCATATTGTTTATTATTTTGAAATCTGGTTTTATGGACTGTGCTCTCTCATTTTCTCTTTCTTTCGCAAATAATTCAGTAATTTTTTGCTATCAATACACTTCAATTGAATAAAACACTGGTTTGAACAAAAACGTCACCACGTGTCTACAAATCACCCCCCCCCCCCCCCCCCCTTTTTCTGAACGGATACACCTTTGGGTGTACCTATGGCTGTTCCAAAGAAAAGGGGGTGTAATGTATTATATTATAGCCAACACTAACCTTCAAGAAAAATTGGAGGCGCACGAAGCTGGAATAGACCCTTTCCGAAATTCAGTGCCATCTGGTGGCTGAAATGGCGGTTTACTTTTGCCATACGAATGGCGGCAATGAACCCGTAGCCTGCAGTATTTTATCGGGCACCGTCACTTTTGCATGTCAACGGACGACGAGAATAAACTTTTCGCTATACAGGTTTTTCTGGACCATCTCTTCCAGTGTCGATTCCCACAACGATGCAACCAGTCAGAACGAAGCGCCAAACCAGACAGACGCCTTGATAAAGTTGTAAAAGTCGAGGGGTTTCGAAGTCGATTTTGTGCCACTAACAGGTTCACTGGGCTCGAATTAGAGAAATGAACACTTACGCAGCGCTTGCATTCAATTCCGGTTTCGCAACATGCTAACGTCTAGAATATATACACTCCGTGCGACGCGACCGGCGCGCCGCCGCGCGGCCGGTACCGAAGGTAGGCAGTGAGAGCCCCACCAAAACGAAACCGCGCCGCGTACGTTGGTACGCATTGAAGTCGGAGCGTTGCGGTTGCGCTGGGTTGACAGCATGAACTGCTGTGTCGTTAAGTGCTCCAATAGTAATGCGTCGTATCTCGTGGGGACGAAGTTTCAGAGTTTTTCACCTCGACGACGTTTTGTGCACGGACAGCGAAAGCGATGGACCCATGCCGTACGACGCGAGAAATTTGGTCTCCCGATCATGTCTGCCACTATGTTGACACTGCTGACATATTCTACACTGCCGCTTTGCGCTCTGCGTTTGTCTTCGTACCAGTAACGCCAACATATCTCAGCTCGAACTGAAATGCCATTCTACACTCGTGGGTATGAGGTGCGAATTTCGTTGAAGGAATGCCCTGGAAAGAAGTTTCGTCCCCATCGTACGTGTCGATGATATTTCCGGACCAGTATGGTACGCAGTCTGTACTTCATGAAGAAAGATTCGAACGGTACAAAAGAGTGACAAATATGAATCTAAGGAAAACTACAATGAAACTTGGAATCTCTGGACAATCGATGTTTGACAATGAAAGTTTATGTGGTGTGCTTTCTTTTTTGATCAGCCTCCTTTTGGATATGAAAACGCTGACACCCTGAGTCTTGAAGACAACAATTTTTTTTCTCGGCTTTAGAGCCACCTATCGCAAAGTAGTTCGAACTGGAAGTACCGTTCACTGGTCCCTTCCTACCTGTAAAGTGTGCACCTTCCGGCCATGATGAGTGGTATTCTCTTGGCGGCATTTGACGGTCAAAAACGGTTCCCATTTAGTTACGCCGGCCAAAAATATTTCCACCTGGTTAAACTATGCCATCTCTTTTAGGTATAATAAGTGTTTTGTCAAGTTACGGCTGTCCAAGTACCTGTGTGCCGAAAATCAGCACCTCGCACAACCAGATTACTACATAACAGCTCACCGCAAAAGCCTTTGACGGCCAAACCGTGTGTTGGCCGGCAACTTGGTTTTCTCGGTTTGGAAGCCACCTTCCGTAACGTTGTTTCAAGTCGGAAGTACAGTGCACTATAGTCCCTTCCTACCAGTAAAGTTTCCATCTCCCACGACAAGTGGTATTCTCTTGACAGCCTTTTCACAGTCAAAACCGTTTCCCATTCAGTTACGCCGCCCAAACTAAATTTCCACCTGGTTTCCCTATGCCACCTATTTTTGCTATTATAACTGTTGTGTCAAGTTACGGTCATGTCCAAGAACCTGCGTGTCTAAGTCTGCACTTCGCACAGCCCGGTTATAACACAACATTTTGGGTCCATTATGGGATATTCCTAAAAGCTTTATTACATTATTCGTTCGAACCATAACTTTCACACTTGCTGTCTTAATAAAACTTGGCCCACTTAGTGCACGAATTAAGTGAACATCTCACTCGCCTCCAAATATCATCGACCCACCAACTTTAGAGCGACGAGCGAAACAAATTTCCCACTGAGAGCAATTATGGCGGCGGCCATCTTGTTTTCGGGAAAATTGCCCAAACCCCTTTTTCGACCGCAACTAGAGAAATTATACCTATTGACGATTCAAACTTAATATATAAGAAGCGGAGAACAGCTAAATGCCCTTCTTAAATCTGCCCCAGCACTCATGCAATGTCATCCTCAACTTATCGGCTTAAAAAGCAAAAGTTCCGCCCGTGCGCGCTTCCGCCGCCACAGCTTCGCACGCGAAAAGGCGCCGCAGGCTGCTGAACGCGCCTCGCTGTCGAACGCCAGCTCCTCCGCTAGCGGCGCTACGCGCGTTTTTCAAAGCGCCCCCTATAGTTCCCGCACGGAGTGTATAGGCCTTGAATCCTCAGCTTAGGAGTATCTTCAACATGTTCCTTCACCAGTAATTAGAAAGCCGCCATTGGTATGGCACATATGCCATTTTTCAGATGATGATGATAGTGATCACAGTGGCCAGAGTGAATTTCGGAAAGGGTCTATTAGAGAACCTCCACTGACACACAGAGTAATGACAAGAAAAGCAACAAATTGCGAGAAGAAAATAACTTGAGTGCTTTTCTTTTTATTATTTGTGTTTTCGCGTATTTTTGTAGATTATCTCTCAGGGACCAAATACGTAATCCGCGAACGTGAACAGCATTGTGGCCTCTTCCCCACGAGCTATTAGTTGACCCAAATAATAAAAAAAGGACTAAAGAAGCTCGTAAAACTTATAAAAGAAAACATTGTGACAAGAAAACCCTTCTGAAAAGAAAAAAAAGGACATGTTGCTACGCTTGCGGCTCAGGTCGGTGCTGTCGTCGGCGAGTTGCAGGTCCCTTGAAGCAGGGACAACGAAACGATCAGAAGTCGATGGTAGTTGGCGCTCAAGAGGGTTAGTTTGTGTGAGCTCTATATGGGGGGGCTGAAT